TATTTCACTGCTGTATTAAGTGGAGAATGTGTCGTTGGAGCACGATGGTTTGTTGTGGGGAGAGTGAAGAAATTTGGGTGGTTGCATCTGGTTTTGATGGTGTGGGGATGGTTTGTTGTGGGGAGAGTGAAGAAATTTGGGTGGTTGCATCTGGTTTTGATGGTGTGGGGATGGTTTGTTGTGGGAGAGTGAAGAAATTTGGGTGGTTGCATCTGGTTTTGATGGTGTGGGGATGGTTTGTTGTGGGGAGAGTGAAGAAATTTGGGTGGTTGCATCTGGTTTTGATGGTGTGGGGATGGTTTGTTGTGGGGAGAGTGAAGAAATTTGGGTGGTTGCATCTGGTTTTGATGGTGTGGGGATGGTTTGTTGTGGGGAGAGTGAAGAAATTTGGGTGGTTGCATCTGGTTTTGATGGTGTGGGGATGGTTTGTTGTGGGGAGAGTGAAGAAATTTGGGTGGTTGCATCTGGTTTTGATGGTGTGGGGATGGTTTGTTGTGGGGAGAGTGAAGAAATTTGGGTGGTTGCATCTGGTTTTGATGGTGTGGGGATGGTTTGTTGTGGGGAGAGTGAAGAAATTTGGGTGGTTGCATCTGGTTTTGATGGTGTGGGGATGGTTTGTTGTGGGGAGAGTGAAGAAATTTGGGTGGTTGCATCTGGTTTTGATGGTGTGGGGATGGTTTGTTGTGGGGAGAGTGAAGAAATTTGGGTGGTTGCATCTGGTTTTGATGGTGTGGGGATGGTTTGTTGTGGGGAGAGTGAAGAAATTTGGGTGGTTGCATCTGGTTTTGATGGTGTGGGGATGGTTTGTTGTGGGGAGAGTGAAGAAATTTGGGTGGTTGCATCTGGTTTTGATGGTGTGGGGATGGTTTGTTGTGGGAGAGTGAAGAAATTTGGGTGGTTGCATCTGGTTTTGATGGTGTGGGGATGGTTTGTTGTGGGGAGAGTGAAGAAATTTGGGTGGTTGCATCTGGTTTTGATGGTGTGGGGATGGTTTGTTGTGGGGAGAGTGAAGAAATTTGGGTGGTTGCATCTGGTTTTGATGGTGTGGGGATGGTTTGTTGTGGGGAGAGTGAAGAAATTTGGGTGGTTGCATCTGGTTTTGATGGTGTGGGGATGGTTTGTTGTGGGGAGAGTGAAGAAATTTGGGTGGTTGCATCTGGTTTTGATGGTGTGGGGATGGTTTGTTGTGGGGAGAGTGAAGAAATTTGGGTGGTTGCATCTGGTTTTGATGGTGTGGGGATGGTTTGTTGTGGGGAGAGTGAAGAAATTTGGGTGGTTGCATCTGGTTTTGATGGTGTGGGGATGGTTTGTTGTGGGGAGAGTGAAGAAATTTGGGTGGTTGCATCTGGTTTTGATGGTGTGGGGATGGTTTGTTGTGGGGAGAGTGAAGAAATTTGGGTGGTTGCATCTGGTTTTGATGGTGTGGGGATGGTTTGTTGTGGGGAGAGTGAAGAAATTTGGGTGGTTGCATCTGGTTTTGATGGTGTGGGGATGGTTTGTTGTGGGGAGAGTGAAGAAATTTGGGTGGTTGCATCTGGTTTTGATGGTGTGGGGATGGTTTGTTGTGGGGAGAGTGAAGAAATTTGGGTGGTTGCATCTGGTTTTGATGGTGTGGGGATGGTTTGTTGTGGGGAGAGTGAAGAAATTTGGGTGGTTGCATCTGGTTTTGATGGTGTGGGGATGGTTTGTTGTGGGAGAGTGAAGAAATTTGGGTGGTTGCATCTGGTTTTGATGGTGTGGGGATGGTTTGTTGTGGGGAGAGTGAAGAAATTTGGGTGGTTGCATCTGGTTTTGATGGTGTGGGGATGGTTTGTTGTGGGGAGAGTGAAGAAATTTGGGTGGTTGCATCTGGTTTTGATGGTGTGGGGATGGTTTGTTGTGGGGAGAGTGAAGAAATTTGGGTGGTTGCATCTGGTTTTGATGGTGTGGGGATGGTTTGTTGTGGGGAGAGTGAAGAAATTTGGGTGGTTGCATCTGGTTTTGATGGTGTGGGGATGGTTTGTTGTGGGGAGAGTGAAGAAATTTGGGTGGTTGCATCTGGTTTTGATGGTGTGGGGATGGTTTGTTGTGGGGAGAGTGAAGAAATTTGGGTGGTTGCATCTGGTTTTGATGGTGTGGGGATGGTTTGTTGTGGGGAGAGTGAAGAAATTTGGGTGGTTGCATCTGGTTTTGATGGTGTGGGGATGGTTTGTTGTGGGGAGAGTGAAGAAATTTGGGTGGTTGCATCTGGTTTTGATGGTGTGGGGATGGTTTGTTGTGGGGAGAGTGAAGAAATTTGGGTGGTTGCATCTGGTTTTGATGGTGTGGGGATGGTTTGTTGTGGGGAGAGTGAAGAAATTTGGGTGGTTGCATCTGGTTTTGATGGTGTGGGGATGGTTTGTTTGGGGAGAGTGAAGAAATTTGGGTGGTTGCATCTGGTTTTGATGGTGTGGGGATGGTTTGTTGTGGGGAGAGTGAAGAAATTTGGGTGGTTGCATCTGGTTTTGATGGTGTGGGGATGGTTTGTTGTGGGGAGAGTGAAGAAATTTGGGTGGTTGCATCTGGTTTTGATGGTGTGGGGATGGTTTGTTGTGGGGAGAGTGAAGAAATTTGGGTGGTTGCATCTGGTTTTGATGGTGTGGGGATGGTTTGTTGTGGGGAGAGTGAAGAAATTTGGGTGGTTGCATCTGGTTTTGATGGTGTGGGGATGGTTTGTTGTGGGGAGAGTGAAGAAATTTGGGTGGTTGCATCTGGTTTTGATGGTGTGGGGATGGTTTGTTGTGGGGAGAGTGAAGAAATTTGGGTGGTTGCATCTGGTTTTGATGGTGTGGGGATGGTTTGTTGTGGGGAGAGTGAAGAAATTTGGGTGGTTGCATCTGGTTTTGATGGTGTGGGGATGGTTTGTTGTGGGGAGAGTGAAGAAATTTGGGTGGTTGCATCTGGTTTTGATGGTGTGGGGATGGTTTGTTGTGGGGAGAGTGAAGAAATTTGGGTGGTTGCATCTGGTTTTGATGGTGTGGGGATGGTTTGTTGTGGGAGAGTGAAGAAATTTGGGTGGTTGCATCTGGTTTTGATGGTGTGGGGATGTTTGGTTGTTGGAGAGTGAAGAAATTTGGGTGGTTGCATCTGGTTTTGATGGTGTGGGGATGGTTTGTTGTGGGGAGAGTGAAGAAATTTGGGTGGTTGCATCTGGTTTTGATGGTGTGGGGATGGTTTGTTGTGGGGAGAGTGAAGAAATTTGGGTGGTTGCATCTGGTTTTGATGGTGTGGGGATGGTTTGTTGTGGGGAGAGTGAAGAAATTTGGGTGGTTGCATCTGGTTTTGATGGTGTGGGGATGGTTTGTTGTGGGGAGAGTGAAGAAATTTGGGTGGTTGCATCTGGTTTTGATGGTGTGGGGATGGTTTGTTGTGGGGAGAGTGAAGAAATTTGGGTGGTTGCATCTGGTTTTGATGGTGTGGGGATGGTTTGTTGTGGGGAGAGTGAAGAAATTTGGGTGGTTGCATCTGGTTTTGATGGTGTGGGATGGTTTGTTGTGGGGAGAGTGAAGAAATTTGGGTGGTTGCATCTGGTTTTGATGGTGTGGGGATGGTTTGTTGTGGGGAGAGTGAAGAAATTTGGGTGGTTGCATCTGGTTTTGATGGTGTGGGGATGGTTTGTTGTGGGGAGAGTGAAGAAATTTGGGTGGTTGCATCTGGTTTTGATGGTGTGGGGATGGTTTGTTGTGGGGAGAGTGAAGAAATTTGGGTGGTTGCATCTGGTTTTGATGGTGTGGGGATGGTTTGTTGTGGGGAGAGTGAAGAAATTTGGGTGGTTGCATCTGGTTTTGATGGTGTGGGGATGGTTTGTTGTGGGGATGGTTTTGGTGGTGTGGGGATGGTTTGTTGTGGGGAGAGTGAAGAAATTTGGGTGGTTGCATCTGGTTTTGATGGTGTGGGGATGGTTTGTTGTGGGAGAGTGAAGAAATTTGGGTGGTTGCATCTGGTTTTGATGGTGTGGGGATGGTTTGTTGTGGGGAGAGTGAAGAAATTTGGGTGGTTGCATCTGGTTTTTGATGGTGTGGGGATGGTTTGTTGTGGGGAGAGTGAAGAAATTTGGGTGGTTGCATCTGGTTTTTGATGGTGTGGGGATGGTTTGTTGTGGGGAGAGTGAAGAAATTTGGGTGGTTGCATCTGGTTTTGATGGTGTGGGGATGGTTTGTTGTGGGGAGAGTGAAGAAATTTGGGTGGTTGCATCTGGTTTTGATGGTGTGGGGATGGTTTGTTGTGGGGGAGTGAAGAAATTTGGGTGGTTGCATCTGGTTTTGATGGTGTGGGGATGGTTTGTTGGGGAGAGTGAAGAAATTTGGGTGGTTGCATCTGGTTTTGATGGTGTGGGGATGGTTTGTTGTGGGAGAGTGAAGAAATTTGGGTGGTTGCATCTGGTTTTGATGGTGTGGGGATGGTTTGTTGTGGGGAGAGTGAAGAAATTGGGTGGTTGCATCTGGTTTTGATGGTGTGGGGATGGTTTGTTGTGGGGAGAGTGAAGAAATTTGGGTGGTTGCATCTGGTTTTGATGGTGTGGGGATGGTTTGTTGTGGGGAGAGTGAAGAAATTTGGGTGGTTGCATCTGGTTTTGATGGTGTGGGGATGTTTGTTGTGGGGAAGTGAAGAAATTTGGGTGGTGCATCTGGTTTTGATGGTGTGGGGATGGTTTGTTGTGGGGAGAGTGAAGAAATTTGGGTGGTTGCATCTGGTTTTGATGGTGTGGGGATGGTTTGTTGTGGGGAGAGTGAAGAAATTTGGGTGGTTGCATCTGGTTTTGATGGTGTGGGGATGGTTTGTTGTGGGGAGAGTGAAGAAATTTGGGTGGTTGCATCTGGTTTTGATGGTGTGGGGATGGTTTGTTGTGGGAGAGTGAAGAAATTTGGGTGGTTGCATCTGGTTTTGATGGTGTGGGGATGGTTTGTTGTGGGGAGAGTGAAGAAATTTGGGTGGTTGCATCTGGTTTTGATGGTGTGGGGATGGTTTGTTGTGGGGAGAGTGAAGAAATTTGGGTGGTTGCATCTGGTTTTGATGGTGTGGGGATGGTTTGTTGTGGGGAGAGTGAAGAAATTTGGGTGGTTGCATCTGGTTTTGATGGTGTGGGGATGGTTTGTTGTGGGGAGAGTGAAGAAATTTGGGTGGTTGCATCTGGTTTTGATGGTGTGGGGATGGTTTGTTGTGGGGAGAGTGAAGAAATTTGGGTGGTTGCATCTGGTTTTGATGGTGTGGGGATGGTTTGTTGTGGGGAGAGTGAAGAAATTTGGGTGGTTGCATCTGGTTTTGATGGTGTGGGGATGGTTTGTTGTGGGGAGAGTGAAGAAATTTGGGTGGTTGCATCTGGTTTTGATGGTGTGGGGATGGTTTGTTGTGGGGAGAGTGAAGAAATTTGGGTGGTTGCATCTGGTTTTGATGGTGTGGGGATGGTTTGTTGTGGGGAGAGTGAAGAAATTTGGGTGGTTGCATCTGGTTTTGATGGTGTGGGGATGGTTTGTTGTGGGGATGGTTTTGATGGTGTGGGGATGGTTTGTTGTGGGGAGAGTGAAGAAATTTGGGTGGTTGCATCTGGTTTTGATGGTGTGGGGATGGTTTGTTGTGGGGATGGTTTTGATGGTGTGGGGATGGTTTGTTGTGGGGAGAGTGAAGAAATTTGGGTGGTTGCATCTGGTTTTGATGGTGTGGGGATGGTTTGTTGTGGGGAGAGTGAAGAAATTTGGGTGGTTGCATCTGGTTTTGATGGTGTGGGGATGGTTTGTTGTGGGGATGGTTTTGATGGTGTGGGGATGGTTTGTTGTGGGGAGAGTGAAGAAATTTGGGTGGTTGCATCTGGTTTTGATGGTGTGGGGATGGTTTGTTGTGGGAGAGTGAAGAAATTTGGGTGGTTGCATCTGGTTTTGATGGTGTGGGGATGGTTTGTTGTGGGAGAGTGAAGAAATTTGGGTGGTTGCATCTGGTTTTGATGGTGTGGGGATGGTTTGTTGTGGGGAGAGTGAAGAAATTTGGGTGGTTGCATCTGGTTTTGATGGTGTGGGGATGGTTTGTTGTGGGGAGAGTGAAGAAATTTGGGTGGTTGCATCTGGTTTTGATGGTGTGGGGATGGTTTGTTGTGGGAGAGTGAAGAAATTTGGGTGGTTGCATCTGGTTTTGATGGTGTGGGGATGGTTTGTTGTGGGGAGAGTGAAGAAATTTGGGTGGTTGCATCTGGTTTTGATGGTGTGGGGATGGTTTGTTGTGGGGAGAGTGAAGAAATTTGGGTGGTTGCATCTGGTTTTGATGGTGTGGGGATGGTTTGTTGTGGGGAGAGTGAAGAAATTTGGGTGGTTGCATCTGGTTTTGATGGTGTGGGGATGGTTTGTTGTGGGGAGAGTGAAGAAATTTGGGTGGTTGCATCTGGTTTTGATGGTGTGGGGATGGTTTGTTGTGGGGAGAGTGAAGAAATTTGGGTGGTTGCATCTGGTTTTGATGGTGTGGGGATGGTTTGTTGTGGGAGAGTGAAGAAATTTGGGTGGTTGCATCTGGTTTTGATGGTGTGGGGATGGTTTGTTGTGGGGAGAGTGAAGAAATTTGGGTGGTTGCATCTGGTTTTGATGGTGTGGGGATGGTTTGTTGTGGGGAGAGTGAAGAAATTTGGGTGGTTGCATCTGGTTTTGATGGTGTGGGGATGGTTTGTTGTGGGGAGAGTGAAGAAATTTGGGTGGTTGCATCTGGTTTTGATGGTGTGGGGGGTTTGTTGTGGGGAGAGTGAAGAAATTTGGGTGGTTGCATCTGGTTTTGATGGTGTGGGGATGGTTTGTTGTGGGGAGAGTGAAGAAATTTGGGTGGTTGCATCTGGTTTTGATGGTGTGGGGATGGTTTGTTGTGGGAGAGTGAAGAAATTTGGGTGGTTGCATCTGGTTTTGATGGTGTGGGGATGGTTTGTTGTGGGGAGAGTGAAGAAATTTGGGTGGTTGCATCTGGTTTTGATGGTGTGGGGATGGTTTGTTGTGGGGAGAGTGAAGAAATTTGGGTGGTTGCATCTGGTTTTGATGGTGTGGGGATGGTTTGTTGTTGGGGAGAGTGAAGAAATTTGGGTGGTTGCATCTGGTTTTGATGGTGTGGGGATGGTTTGTTGTGGGGATGGTTTTGATGGTGTGGGGATGGTTTGTTGTGGGGAGAGTGAAGAAATTTGGGTGGTTGCATCTGGTTTTGATGGTGTGGGGATGGTTTGTTGTGGGGAGAGTGAAGAAATTTGGGTGGTTGCATCTGGTTTTGATGGTGTGGGGATGGTTTGTTGTGGGGAGAGTGAAGAAATTTGGGTGGTTGCATCTGGTTTTGATGGTGTGGGGATGGTTTGTTGTGGGGAGAGTGAAGAAATTTGGGTGGTTGCATCTGGTTTTGATGGTGTGGGGATGGTTTGTTGTGGGGAGAGTGAAGAAATTTGGGTGGTTGCATCTGGTTTTGATGGTGTGGGGATGGTTTGTTGTGGGGAGAGTGAAGAAATTTGGGTGGTTGCATCTGGTTTTGATGGTGTGGGGATGGTTTGTTGTGGGAGAGTGAAGAAATTTGGGTGGTTGCATCTGGTTTTGATGGTGTGGGGATGGTTTGTTGTGGGGAGAGTGAAGAAATTTGGGTGGTTGCATCTGGTTTTGATGGTGTGGGGATGGTTTGTTGTGGGGAGAGTGAAGAAATTTGGGTGGTTGCATCTGGTTTTGATGGTGTGGGGATGGTTTGTTGTGGGGAGAGTGAAGAAATTTGGGTGGTTGCATCTGGTTTTGATGGTGTGGGGATGGTTTGTTGTGGGGAGAGTGAAGAAATTTGGGTGGTTGCATCTGGTTTTGATGGTGTGGGGATGGTTTGTTGTGGGGAGAGTGAAGAAATTTGGGTGGTTGCATCTGGTTTTGATGGTGTGGGGATGGTTTGTTGTGGGGAGAGTGAAGAAATTTGGGTGGTTGCATCTGGTTTTGATGGTGTGGGGATGGTTTGTTGTGGGGAGAGTGAAGAAATTTGGGTGGTTGCATCTGGTTTTGATGGTGTGGGGATGGTTTGTTGTGGGGAGAGTGAAGAAATTTGGGTGGTTGCATCTGGTTTTGATGGTGTGGGGATGGTTTGTTGTGGGGAGAGTGAAGAAATTTGGGTGGTTGCATCTGGTTTTGATGGTGTGGGGATGGTTTGTTGTGGGGAGAGTGAAGAAATTTGGGTGGTTGCATCTGGTTTTGATGGTGTGGGGATGGTTTGTTGTGGGGAGAGTGAAGAAATTTGGGTGGTTGCATCTGGTTTTGATGGTGTGGGGATGGTTTGTTGTGGGGAGAGTGAAGAAATTTGGGTGGTTGCATCTGGTTTTGATGGTGTGGGGATGGTTTGTTGTGGGGAGAGTGAAGAAATTTGGGTGGTTGCATCTGGTTTTGATGGTGTGGGGATGGTTTGTTGTGGGGAGAGTGAAGAAATTTGGGTGGTTGCATCTGGTTTTGATGGTGTGGGGATGGTTTTTGTTGTGGGAGAGTGAAGAAATTTGGGTGGTTGCATCTGGTTTTGATGGTGTGGGATGGTTTGTTGTGGGGAGAGTGAAGAAATTTGGGTGGTTGCATCTGGTTTTGATGGTGTGGGGATGGTTTGTTGTGGGAGAGTGAAGAAATTTGGGTGGTTGCATCTGGTTTTGATGGTGTGGGGATGGTTTGTTGTGGGGAGAGTGAAGAAATTTGGGTGGTTGCATCTGGTTTTGATGGTGTGGGGATGGTTTGTTGTGGGGAGAGTGAAGAAATTTGGGTGGTTGCATCTGGTTTTGATGGTGTGGGGATGGTTTGTTGTGGGGAGAGTGAAGAAATTTGGGTGGTTGCATCTGGTTTTGATGGTGTGGGGATGGTTTGTTGTGGGGAGAGTGAAGAAATTTGGGTGGTTGCATCTGGTTTTGATGGTGTGGGGATGGTTTGTTGTGGGGAGAGTGAAGAAATTTGGGTGGTTGCATCTGGTTTTGATGGTGTGGGGATGGTTTGTTGTGGGGAGAGTGAAGAAATTTGGGTGTTGCATCTGGTTTTGATGGTGTGGGGATGGTTTGTTGTGGGAGAGTGAAGAAATTTGGGTGGTTGCATCTGGTTTTGATGGTGTGGGGATGGTTTGTTGTGGGGAGAGTGAAGAAATTTGGGTGGTTGCATCTGGTTTTGATAGTTATTCTGCAAGAAAAAAAAATTCTCATTAATAACTTCAAGCCGATTTTTCACTGTAATAAAACTCCAAACTTCTCTTAATTGTGGAGATAAATTGAAGTTTTCTTCATGCATACTAATTTATTACTTTGTATTTACATTAATTTCAGAAACAGTGTTGACATATATGCAATTTAAAATCGATGTCATTTATACTTAATTAGAATATATCCAATCGTTCTATTCTTTCAAAATATAAAGCTCTACAATGGAAATTGTATAGCTTAAAATATAATAATCTGCCCCGATACTTTGAACGATGAAAATCATAAGCCACTGCAATAAGATTAATCTTCAATTGTTGTATATATTGATATCTTACTCTCATAAAAATCTGCAAGACCGTTTTCGCGAAAAAGTCATTTTACATATATGCGTTACTTAGTTAGGCGATTGATCTAACCTCAACCATAAAAATATTGCAAAATACTGAAAGTCTATATATAATTAATAGACTCTAAATATTGCTGCTGCGCTTAAAACAAGATTTAACAAATTTGTCGATATTCACTCAACAAATTGAAATTTCATCAATAAAGCAAAAACAAAATGAGTTACAAACGGGAACATGACGAATTTATCTACTAAAAACAAATTTATAACTAACATACAGCAAAAATTCTCGATTAATCCCCGAATTGCAACAAATAACTTGAAGATGTTGTTTTACGTTGCTTACAAAAGCAAACTACATAAAGTTTTTGAAATAGAACCTTTTAAATACGCTCAAATAAAAATCTATTCTAATACCTTTTCTCTTTTTTTTAAATAAATATATTCTCATTCATTCCCTAAAACAAACCATTATATGAATAACATGAAATATGTCATTAAAAATAAATTATAATAATAATCCAAAATATTCTTATCAGATATGGGAAAAAAGACAAATTTTGGAACAAGCATCAAAAATAAATAACGTTTGTAATTCCAAAAATTTTTTCATTTTGCAAATTTTCATGGAAAATTCATATTTCTTCTCTCGATTTTAAAATTTTTGAATTTTTTTTTGGAATTTTAAATGAAGAATTGAGAAACCTAATATAGATGGTTGTTATCTCATATGTGAATATGTTCGTTTTATTTCACAGTTTGGAATTTTCTCATATTTTATGGTGAAATTGAGTTTCTATCACAAGTTTAGATAGCATATTTAAGGACAGATTACATGAATTTATATTTTCATCAATATGGTATATTGAAATAGGAGACGCTCAATATTACAATGTCTTTCTTAGAATTCCAAATGTATTCAAATTTCCTGAAACTACAATTTCTGTAGTTACTAGCCACATATAGGAAGCAATACACAAATGTCTAGTAGATAGTATATCATTTTATCTCGCAAAATGAGTATCTTAGGAAAAATTCTAGATACTTTTTCAAAACATGCAACAACGCAAGATCTATTCTGTAAAACCGATTAACAGTACAAATATGTTTATTTGCAGGTCAAAGATTTGAATGTTAATTTTAATAATAATTCCTCGAAATCGCTCTTGCAGTTTTCTTCCATTCTTCGTCTATTAGTTACCGAGTACCTACATAGTCTAAATCCATTACCAAAATCAAGAAAGCATCGTTACGATTTTGTTGACCTACCTTTATCAAAAATTACAACTTCCAAGCAAATCATTTTAAATCTCATATCTCATTTTTCTATACAAAGTACAAAATCATAAAACTCTGTATCATTTCTATTATATTATCTTTTAAAAACGCTGAAAATTTCTATATACGTCGAGATATAAAAGCTTTTTGAGAATGAGGGAAAAAAAGTGACGAAAATTCCTGGAAATGGAGGATACTGATATAGTGATTCCTAGAATCATATTAGTGACAAAACAAGTAAAAAGAATAAATAGAGCATCTGAAAATATATATAATATTTTTGTTTGTTTGAATATTCAGGAGTTTTTAATTTGATGCTCATTAAAAAAAAAAAAAAAAAAAAAAAAAAAAAAAAAAAAAAGGTAGTGGGGCTTCCAGGCACTTCGTGCCTTCTAGCCCTGAGGATGTTTTGTCAAGACTTCTTCATCGTAAATGTTTTGTCAAGACTTCTTCGTAAAGACTTTGTCAAGACTTCTTCATCGTAAATGTTTTGTCAAGACTTCTTCGTAAAGACTTTGTCAAGACTTCTTCGTAAAATCAGACAAAAATATATTTTATGTTAGAATGTTAGATCTAACCTCTTTTCTAACATGTTTTCTAACATCGTAGAAAACTCATGATTTCTTCGTAAATGTTTTGTCAAGACTTCTTCATCGTAAATGTTTTGTCAAGACTTCTTCGTAATGAGCGTAAAAGACCCAAAAATATTTTATGTTAGAATGTTAGATCTAACATGTTTTCTAACACGTTTTCTAACATCGTAGAAAACTCATGATTTCATCGTAAATGTTTTGTCAAGACTTCTTCATCGTAAATGTTTTGTCAAGACTTCTTCATCGTAAATGTTTTGTCAAGACTTCTTCGTAATGAGCGTAAAAGACCCAAAAATATATTTTATGTTAGAATGTTAGATCTAACATGTTTTCTAACACGTTTTCTAACATCGTAGAAAACTCATGATTTCATCGTAAATGTTTTGTCAAGACTTCTTCATCGTAAATGTTTTGTCAAGACTTCTTCATCGTAAATGTTTTGTCAAGACTTCTTCGTAATGAGCGTAAAAGACCAAATTTCAAGAGTTTTCTACGATGTTAGAAAACGTGTTAGAAAACATGTTAGATCTAACATTCTAACATAAAATATATTTTTATTGAATTCCGTATGAAATTTCATGAGTTTTGTATGTTTTAGACCATGTTAGAAAACATGTTAGAAAACATGTTAGATCTAACATTCTAACATAAAATATATTTTTGGGTCATTTACACTCATTTACGAAGAAGTCTCAACAAAGTCTTTACGAAGAAGTCTTTACAAAACATCTGTCAAAAGCCGCTTTTTAACTTCACTTAAAATGCCACGTAAGCTACGTAAGAATATACGTAAGAGGAAGAGAGCATTGAAACATCCAATAGTAAGACTAAACCACAACAACAGTTGCAACAACAAATGCTGAATGACCCCACTATGTTGCAACAAATGTCAAGCAATCCTATGCTTTTAAACCGAGTCATTGGTGCACAGAGTGGAGGTTTAAGAGCGGCACTTTTAGCGAAAATGGCAGGCTATGGTGGAGCTGCAGACGGAACAGCCTATAACCCTCAAAGTCAAATGAATTTGAGTTCACTCAAAAATCAAATAACAGATGTCAAAAAGTCAAACATAGACATACAGAAGCAAATAAGTGAAAACGAAAAGAAACTAGAATATGACAGACACACAAAGAAACTCAATGAGTTAAACGTAGAGAAAAAGAAGAAAGAAGAACAACTGAAAGAACTAAGTACAGAGGAATATGCGAAAAAAGTGTCAGAAAAAGCAGCAGAAGTAGCAAAATGGAACAAGATGTTATAAATTTGAAAAACCATACTACTCAATATAAAATACTGAAAGATGAAGAGATAAAACAAAAAGCCCTGAAGACATATATGGATAGCGATGAGTATAAAAAAAGAAGTTGAAGCAAATGTAAAGGCAGAAAAACTTTTACAGTTGCAAAACCAAACCGTACAGTATGAAAACTTAGCACAAGAAAGTAAAAATAACGACGCGGCTATGCAAAAGGCAATGAAAAGCGCAGAATATATAAAAGCCAACAATGACTGGTTAGATGCCCAAGCCAACGCTAAAGCAGCCCAGCTTATAGGGTCAATAAGGACAAAAATACAAGCGGATGAAGACAGTTCAAATGAAGCTTTAACAAATGCTGACTTTAAGAACGCTTTCGAAGCTCTTCATAGTAAGGTGAAACAAGTGAACGACTTCTCATCTGGAAAGAAACTGAAGTCTGAAGGTTTCGACAAAGAGTTAAAGAAGTAGCACAAAATGACGAAAATAACAGATGCAGCAACGAGACAGGCAGTTCAAAGTGCCTATGACGCCGTTAGAGCAACTGTTGTGGAAAGTCAAGAAAAAGAGTTACAACAGACCAAAACAGACCTAGTAATGCTTTCTTAAAAACGAAAAGTCAGGTAGGACATTACGCTGCAGATGGAACATATGTGCCAGCTGGTGGAACTTATATACCACCAAACCCTCCAAGAGAAGCACCTGCACCAGGACTACCTAACACATTTACATCGTCACATGGACATAGACACAGGCATGCACCACAACAACAACCAAAACCAACACAACAACCAACACAACACCAACACAACAACCAACACAACACCAGCACAGCAACCAACACAACAACCACACAGCAACCAACAGTTCAAAACCCTGCACAACAACAACCACAAACAGAGCAAGGACATAAAAGAAGTAGAGAACAAGGAAACCAAGAATTCTTAAAAATGCTTAAAGAAGAGTGTGGTTTCCCAGATAGTATTGACTTTAGTGACAGATATAAAGAAGCTATTGGAAAGTTCAAGGATGGAAATACTGACCCGAACCTATTTAGCTTTATGGCTCTGCACCAAAGGGGATATAATCTCAAACCTGGAAAATACAAGCTCGCTAAGGGATATGATTTAATAGCATATCATCCAAATGACATGGATGAATTTACTCCGAGATATTTGATGTCAGAGCTAAATGACAATTCAACTTTCGTCATGAAACGCGTAAAAAATAGAGACGGAACGAAAGAACAAAAGCTTATGAATGCGGATGACGTAGATAGGGAAATTGTTAAAACGGTCTCGGAATATATGAAATGCCAGCAGATGAGGTACAAGAAACTCCACAGGAAGAAGTTCAGATACAACC